AGAAGAGGTAAGTGTGTGTGTGTGTGTGTGTGTGTGTGTGTGTGTGTGTGTGTGGTGTGTGTATGTGTACACTCAAATTAGTCCTAAAAGAACCATGCCTTCTGCCCTTCTTTCAGGGCTTGGGTGAAGCTGGAATGTTCATGGGATGCCCTCAGAGAGAGGGGACTGACCAAGACTTTCACCCTGAGTAGCCCAGTGACTCCTGAGTTGATTAGGATGACCTGTGTGGACCAGTTTACTGACATGGTAAGTGAGGTTCCTGTTGTAACCGCCCCTCACGTCGTGGACTTTTAGGTTCTTGGTATTGATTTGATAGCCGTGGAAAAATTACAGGGCAGGTCAATCTTTTTCAGTAAAAATTCTCATTTTGCCTCTATTTGCCAAGTCTTACATTCTTCAAAAAACTGAAAAGTGAATGACTGCCATTAAGGGATGGTTTAATTGTTTTAGACCCCAAAGAAAAACATGTTCAATTGAACCAGTGTTAATTATTTTATTTAATGATCTAAAACCAAGTGGACATGGTAGGTTACTTCTCTAAATCGTTTCTCAAAATGCAATTGGTATGGTATTTTAAATACCTCAATAACCAAATTAGATTGATTGGCTATCTGGCCTAGTCAATTACGCAGAAAGTATATGTTAAATAAACTAACAGTTTACTAGTGTATATTTAATAACAATTTCAATGAAAATATCAAGTCACTCAGCACACCTTGGTATGGCTTGTAAATCACAAGCTAATAGAATAAAGTTCTGTTTCCCAGCTGCTAAAATATATCTAGAGTTATCATCAGAGAGTATTCCTCGTTTATGTGTTGAACTGCTTACCACAGCACTAAACGAGTCTTTGGTACACAAATGAGATTTCACTTTATGCCTTTGAAATTACAGGGGTTCTGGGTAAGATACATCTTAACCTAAATATCAAAAGTTTATGAGGATAAGGAAATTCATAACTCAAGCATTGAAAGAAATATGAAAATTATATAATTTTGATAAGAATAAAATGTACATTGACTTGTTCATTTTAAAACACTATAATTTGTCTTCTGAATTACAATAACTTTTTTTCATATAATAACATTTTATTAACAACTATCTTCCCTCTTTTGATCTTTTTTAGATTCCCAGAGATGACCCTTCAACATTTACACCTTGGCCAATCCATGTGTCTTAATCCTATGTTTTCTAAAAAATGAAAGAATACAAAATGATTGATCTTATAAGTTTCACATCAGACCAAAATATAGGTTGACTCCCAAGAGTCAAGGATAATCTTAGCATCTTTTCATCATTCTCTGTGGCTTAGGTCGATACATCATTATGTTTTAGGATGTAGATTTTCACCAAAAGGTGAAATGAAGCTTAGAATCAAAACTCCTTATTTTAGTTTGCATTATCCTAAAAATCTACATCATTATGAGTTCAAAACATAGTTGGAGTTTTCATTAACGTGGAAGAACTCAAGAGAGACTTCTTGTGCTTCTTTTTCAGAAATCTCTTCAAAAAATCATCCACCACCACCCCCCCATCCCCTACCACCCCCCAAGGGAAGGCTTCAAGTCCAAATTCAGGGCAT